CCTAGGCTCTGCAGAATTTACTAAATGAAACACCCCCCTCGCCCCCCTCGCCCACGTCCCTGTGAGGGCGGATTGCTGGGAGATGGAAAGGCTGCTGCTCTGCGACTGTGTTTATCGGAGTCTGGCATCGCTGTAATTTCAGTGTTCAGATGCAATCGCTGCCCCCACTCCCCTCAGGAGTAAACAATAACAAGCACAAACACAATAGACAAACAAGGCCTGCAGGACACACACACACAGTCTATATGCACACACAGTGATAAATGCAAACCACGACCTCCTTCTGTCTGGTTTTCTTTCTTAATTTGACAGTTTGTGTCGGTGGACGAGCTGCACTCAGATCAGATCCTCAGTCTCAACTAAAGAGTTTCATGTCACACTGCCGGAGTTCCTCTTGAATTCAGGTGGCTGCCGAGGACCTGCACACCTTTGCATTCCTTATCAGACGGCGCCACCCGGTGGACACTTGGTGAGCTGCAAACGTAGCGAGCACATCGGCGCTTAAAAGGTTATCGATCCCTTATTGTTAAGCATCACGACTCGGTGAAACGTCGTTTCATTTCAGGAATAGTTACACTTGCTAAATAAATGCGCCCACTAAAAACTCACCATACATCTTTTCTTGCTTTCTGTAAATGTTCGACTTCCCTGGCAGATAATGAATTTATATTTAATCAAAATGTGTTTATGCTGATTTTAGTGATTACACTCTAGTATAATGATGTTACATTAGTTCAGCAGATCTGAGTAATAGCAAACTAAAGTTATGTCACACTTCAGTCAGGTAATTGTCTTAACTTTAAACAATTTAAGCACTTAATCGGTTTCTTTATAGTATGTAGAATTGACGTTGGCTTAGACGCCCCCCCGGTTGTAGTCTGTGCGGGTGATTCTTTGGTCATGGATGTTGCACTGTGCTACTTTCGGAATTGATTTCATATTTGTATTTAAATTCAGCGTGTTAAGAAGAATTACATAGAAATCCACATCTTCTCTCTGAAGGACTAATTTAATGGTTTAGGTGGAGTTGTTCTCTGCAAATAGAGTAAAAGCACAAGAAGGTCAAAATTTACTTGAGACCCTTTAAAAAAAAAAAAAAAAAAAAACATACCAGTTTTGGTGAAAGGTTTGTTTAAAATATTTAACATCCATCTATTCTCTGCAGGCTCCTTTCACTAAAGGACCCATTCGACTCATTTTCTTGTCCTTTCGAATCCGGAAGATGAAATCCAGTGAAGCATCAGCATTTATTGGGAGGAATAAAGATAATGGAACACAGGGACGAAGAAAAGCATCTTGGTTCTTTCTGTAAGGGGTTTATTTTCTCCACATATTTTACAAATAGAAGCACAAATGTTCATTGACTCTCGACAACACAACAGTGTCTGAAGTACTTTGAAGAGCTATTAGGTGATGGAAACGAAGATCTCATCCGTTTATCTGGAAAGAGGGGAGAAAAAAAAAAAGAAAGTGAGGACAAACATTCCTTTAAACATGGCTGAGGACAAGGGGACACATCTGGAGACTCTTGACTACTACAGAGGAGCTACGTTACGTATTGCTACATAAAGGCTCCTAACAGTGTTACCTCCTCTCATAGAACCAGCCTCAGGTCCTGAGATCAGCAGAGAGTGAGGAGGAGCACAAGAGTTCAGAGGGGACATTTCAAGAAGGACATGCACGGTAGAGAGAAGAGACACTTACAGAGCAGCAGCTCCAGAGATGATCTCGATGAGCTCCTTGGTGATGACGGCCTGTCTGGTACGGTTGAAGGTGAGGGTCAGCTTCTCGATCATCTCAGCTGAAGGGAGGGGGGGCCGAGAAACGGGGTCAATGGAAACGTAAAACTTCACTTTGTGTATTTGGTGTTTGTATAAGAGCCATTTAAAAAAAAAATTAAAAGAAATTAAAAAGTTATTTTCAATCCCGCAAGATTGAACGTTTCATCACACGGCAACAGTCTGTGGCCTCGTACCAAATAGAAAAACTACAAAAAGACATTTGGGCGTCGCTACAAAGCATGAAGTTTGATCCAAACTGAGGAGCCAATCAGGCGCTGCAGAGAGCTGCTCTAAAGTCTATAATAATAATAATAATAAAACCTCATCACATGCTCTTAGTTTGTCACTGTTGCATAAGTTGCCACATGCCTGCACATTTGGAAAGCTGCTAAATAAATGCATTCCTCCGTTAACATGAATGATGTCCTGACATCCTCTAACCGCCGTTTCAGAGAAGCAGCGTGGAGGGAATGAAGCGCGTCCTTACAGGCGTTCTTGCTGGCGCTGTCCATAGCCGTCATCCTGGCACTCTGCTCAGCGGTGGAGGACTCCTTCATGGCCATGTAGATGATGTTGACCAGAGCGAACTCCTGGTAGTTCCTCAGCACATCAGCATCGATGTCATCATAGACGCCCATGCTCTCTGTGGGGGGGGGGGGGGAGGGAGGGAGGACACACAACAGGTTCAGCATCTCCTGAGGGGGGACGCCTGAGGATCTGCGCCAACATCTGGATTTTTAACAGCATTACCTGAGTTAGTGACCGTGTCCACGGAAAACAAAGGCTTGGAGTCAGTCTTGTATGAGATAACAGACCTGCAGCAGAGAGAGAGACTCCGTTTAAAATCCCTCCCGGCTCATGGAAGCGCTCAAATGAACAAAACAAAAAAGGTAAACAACGTACCTGAATCTGTTGAAGATGACAGAGCCCTGATCAAACTCATACCCACAATCCAGCAGCTCGCCGGCCACAATGGAGGCGTCGCTGAAGGTGGGCGGCTTGCGGCCGACCTCCTTACAGTTCAGAATGATGTGCTGTCCGTGAGTTCTGATCAGGAACAGTCGGCGTGATTAGTACAGTAAATTAATCACCTGCACACTTGTTCTTTTAAAAAAAAGATAAATCAGACAAATCTCATAAGACTTAATGAGACGGATTATATTGTTTAATCTGGCATTGCAATTACTGCAATGTAATGTCTAACTCTCCTAAATCTAAACAGGACAAGAAATGTCTCTTGTAAATAAACATTGACATCAGACCGATTGAACCGGTGTCTTCCATTAAATGTTTGGGAGCGGTGCTCCGTGTGTACCTGTGCAGGATGCCCCTCAGCTTGTCTCCCACATTGATCACCATGACCTCCTTGCCGGCTCCGGTCAGGAGGGCGATCTCGCTCTTAATGGCCTTGGCCACGTTGGAGTGGATGGCGCCGCAGAGTCCACGGTCGGAAGTCACGCCGACGATCAAGTGCTTGGAGGCCTTGTCCTCCGGCGCCTTGATGTCGGCCTTCTCGTAGAGGGCTGGAGAGGAAACGGTGATACTTAAAAGAGCTGCGTCAAAACATTACAAAATACGCACTATCGAGCGAAGGAGGACAGGTGTGCATACCCAGAGCACCGGTGCCGTACACTCGGGCCGGCTTCAGCTGCCTCTCAGCACGGGCGTACTTGGCAGCGGCCACCATTTTCATGGACTTTGTGATTTTCTGGATGTTCTTGATGGACTTCAGCCGGATGGTGACTAAAGGAAAGAAAGGATGTCATCAATCCAGGATTAAACACCTGATATGGTATGAATGCAGTTCAAAGCACATTAATCTGTCTGGAAACTTGATTATCCTTAATTACTGGCAAACTGTAGAGAAATGACATTTTGTGATTTACTATGATGAGACGGTTCATCTAAACTGACCCGGTTGGATCTGATATTTATCTCTGAATGTATTTCAGCATTTAGCATCTAGCGTTCCGTCCATGTGGGTTCCCTGTGGCTGTCTGCAGAGTGCGTGGGTGCTGTCGTCTTTGCACATTAGGAGGGGAGGATGCACAGGGTGTACTTACTGTCCTTCAGGGTCGCCATGCTCCTGACCTGCCCACTGGGGACAGAAACACCGCGAGTGAGCGTTCACTGCGAGCAGCACAAACACGGAACAGCCTTAATAACACGGCGGAAGTGCAACCGCAGCCTATGTCACGTTCACATTTTGGATGAACCCTGACTGTTTGCTAAGCAAAGCTGCCAATGTGCTAGCATCCGTTAGCTTAGTAACCGCTGCGCTCGTAAGCGTTGACAGTTAGCCCTGGTTAGCTGTCCTCATAGGCTTCTGATGGGCGATGCAGCGACAATGATTTCAATCAATTAGCTAACCGTTTATTCTCTTTAATTAGTTCTCGTGCAATGTCAGACCGTGTAAGCTAGTGAGCTAAGCTAGCGTTAGCTGCTGTGAACTTGCCCATTCAGATCGCAGCACATCGATGTCATTCATTAGCCGCGGCCTGCACGTTAGCGCGTCCTTGCGTTCAATAACTGCACGACTTACAGACTACGCGGTACACTCTCACTCTAATCAAGTATCACACGAGGAACAAACAAGTGAGGTACAAGTAAAGAATCCCGTGAAAGTATTTAAATGCGTTTGACTTTACCATTGTGGGGAGAACACCAACGCGCTGGTCCTGGCGAACATGGTTACTGCTATGAAGGTCAGACAAGCACAACTGCGCAGGCGCAAACAACAGGCAAAATGGACGGATGGTGCGTTCATGAGCTGCCAAATATATCGTTAAGTGGGGCAAACGCATTAACGGTCCTAAAAAATAAGTATTCAAAAGATTTACCGAAGTAAAAGATAGCTATGTGTATGAGTGAATGTCTATGTAATATGTAAAATTGCTGTATTAAAAATTGTGCTGTAGTGATTGTGTCATTTTAATTTGATTTAGCAGTCCATGCAATACGTTCGACTCACATGTATAAGTACAGCAACATCTACATTTTTATATTTGAAGTATTGTATATCACTGGTAAGTATTATTTGTGCTCATTAGTTGTTACCACATTTTTCTTCTCTTCATCGTTTTCTTTTATTTCACTCTAACTGATAAAAGTACTCAAAATCAATCCGAACGTCATCTCTCTTTTAAAATCCAAAGTTTACAACGAGTCCTTGACAGCAGCCACAGTTCTCGCGTGATTGAAGCTTTCGCGCGGGATTATGACGTTCGACATGCGGAAACTGTTTACGTTAGCAGCTAGTAGCTCTTCGTGGTCCAGCCGCCATTCCGGGAGCCTCTCCCCTCTGTTTAAACGTTGTATTTAAACAAGTAGTGGGTTTTTCTGTTTGTCGTCTTTGGTTAAAATGGGGAAAGCGGATTTTCTCTCCCCAAAGGCGATAGCCAACCGGATTAAGTCTAAAGGTCTCCAGAAGCTGAGGTGGTATTGTCAGATGTGTCAAAAACAATGCCGAGATGAGGTGAGACGTTGGCTGAAATCAGTCCGATTGAGTTCATTTCTTTGGTTGTGTGTTTTAACTTATTTGTCCCTCCAGAATGGCTTTAAATGTCACTGCATGTCCGAGTCCCACCAGAGGCAGCTGCTGCTGGCCTCGGAGGACCCAAACAAGTTCATGGACTACTTCTCAGAGTGAGTTCCCTTATGGCTCATTAATAACGCGAAAGTGACGTAAAGTCTTGTTCCTCAGGCGCGAGTTTTCATCAACGTTTCATTTCTTTCAAGTGAGTTCAAAAACGACTTCATTGAGCTGCTCAGCAGACGTTTCGGTGAGTCCTGATTCCACTCAACTTGTCCAGATGTTCCACAGCAGCTGTGTCATCACGTTTTTTTGTGTTTTTTTTACACATGTGTGTGTGTATTCTTGCAGGGACCAAGCGAGTGCACAACAACATCATTTACAACGAATACATCAGCCACAGAGAGCACGTGCACATGAACTCCACAAAGTGGGAGACGCTCACCGACTTCACCAAGTGGCTCGGCCGAGAAGGTAAACGCACCTCTTCAAACTCCACGATCCACCGTGAGACATTCAGGGACTCAACTCGGCTTCCATGTTTGCAGAGTAGACCGACGCGGAATTACTGGCATTGCAGGATTGAGTAAATATTAGACCGATCTGTCTCAATACTTACAGATGCATTTGATTCATATCTTTAGCTCACGTGGTTAAACGTGGAGGATACAACGTTCACATTTGTGGATTTGTCACATTCATTTAAAATGCGGTGCCTCTTAAGTAAAGCGTGGTTAACATCTAAATTTGCCGCCAGGTCTCTGCAAGGTGGACGAGACGCCCAAAGGCTGGTACGTCCAGTACATCGACCGCGACCCGGAGACCATCCGGCGCCAGGAGGAGCAGGCGAGGAAGAAGAAGCAGGACCTGGACGACGAGGAGCGGAGCGCCAAGTTCATTGAGGAGCAGGTCCGCCGAGGCCGCGGCGCCAAGGAGGTTGAGGTGAGTTCGGCCTCGCACGTGCTCATTTATGTATTATGTATCATTATATGTTTAAAAAAATAAATCCCCTGTGTTGTTTCTGTATTTCACTCTGTAGGAAACTCCAGTTTTTACCGAGCTGAAACGTGAGAGCGAAGAAGAAAAAGGTCTGTTCTTTTTTTTATTTTTTATGATTCCCTACATTTCCCTCGTGGACGTCTTTCCGCTCACGCTCACCTTTCCTCCCACAGTCGCTTTCAACATGGGCGCCTCTGCGTGCGTCGCCGGTCCTTCCAAATCAAGGTACAGCGGTCTTAGCACGTTGCTAATTGTGGCGGCTAATTGTCGAGCCGGTGTGAGTTCAATGGTTTTGTGTTTCCCTGAAGCGCTGCTCTGGGTGCGAGTGCCCTCAAAGCGGCGGCGGCGGCGGCAGCGGCCACCAAGAGGAAAGACGCCAGCTCCGACACCAGGGGGGACAAGAAGAAGAAATCCGCCCTGGAGGAGATCATGGAGGTAAAGATGGTCCTTTTCTTCTGCTCCTCTAATCCGCGCCGCCCTTTCTCTCGGCGCTCATCCCGCTCTGCGACGCGTCTCGTTCAGATGGAGGAGAAGAAGAGGAAGAAGCAGTCGGTCCGAACGGATTACTGGCTGCAGCCCAACATCGTGGTGAAAGTCGTCACCAAGCGGCTGGGGGAGAAGTACCACAAGAAGAAGGCCGTCATCACGGTAACAGCAAGCGACCCCCCCCCCTCCCCACCCGGTGGCGTGAACCCTGAAGGGGCGCGTCGCTGAAAGTTTTCTCGTTTTTACTCGTAGGAGGTGCGCGAGAAATACGAAGCCGTGGTGAAGATGATCGACTCCGGGGACAAACTGAAACTGGACCAGAACCACGTGGAGACGGTCATACCTGCACCAGGTGAAACCCCCGGAGCTCTTTTCAAAAGCGCCTCTGCGGCGGGAACGTCTCGCTCCTCCTCCTTAGCTTCTCGTTGTCAAACTGCCTGCAGGTAAACGGGTCTTGATCCTGAACGGTCCGCACAGAGACGCCGAGGCTCTGCTGGAGGGGATCGACGAGAAGAACTTCAGCGCGACGCTCACGCTCGAGTCTGTAAGTGTCTCCAGAGGCCGATCCCACACATTTAGAACTGGATATTCATCGGCATCGCTCAAATCAAGAAATCATGTTATCAATTAGAAGTTAGGCTTTATTTTAAGTTTGTAAGTATCTTTCCTCCTGTCCAGTGAGGCCCGTTTATTTTCAAATGCAACAGGGACACCGTTCTTGGATTCTTTTTATTCTAGGATATTTAAATGATATTAGCGCCGTAAACCAAACCCGGGCAGTTTTTTTTACACACACACACACTCTGAATTCACGCTGCGCTGGACAAGCTTTTCTTCCCATTTGATAATTAACTTCATAATATCCCACATTGACTGAAATATTTGACAACACACTCAATTTAACAAGGCTATTATGAGTTGCTTCCTTCCATCGGTTGCGTGTTTATTCTTGCTTTCTGTCGTCCTCAGGGTCACCTGAAGGGGACGAGAGTGGACGTCGCCTACGAGGATTTCTCTAAACTGGCCTGAAGCAAAAACCTCAGGGACTCTACTGTGTCAGAGTCATTTGTACATAAACGCATCATCACCCCAGAGGAGCAACGCAGTCAATGTGTTTATCTTTTTTTATTTTGTATCCGCATTCAAGTTGATCTCAGCATTGCAGAATGTACATTTTGTTCCAAATAAATTCAACAAAATGTTCTTTCGTGAGTCGTGTTCCCATCTTTTTTTTGAAAAGCACATTGTGGGTGTTTTTTTTTTTTTTTTTTCCGCGTCTCAGAGCGTCTGCAGGAAGCCGCTGAGGTTCGGGACGATGTAGTCGGTGTAGTGGCCGTCGATGAAGCCCTTCCCGCTGTTGTGTACGAACCAGCAGAAGACGCTGGAGCCGCGTTTCTTATCGCGCCTGTAGTCCTTCTGCCAACCCCTGAAATACATGAACGGTTTACAGAAGACACGCGTTTCTTCAGATCTCTTTCACACGCGCGAAAACGCACCTGGTGACTTGCAGCTTGTTGCCCTTCACTTCCATGGTGGCCTCCTTCTTCAGAGGGTCGTCTCCCTCGTGGACGCCGTACACGCTCACCTCAGGCTCTCTGGAGAACTGCCCTGCGGAGATCGCACACGAACATCACACCGCAGGAAACCTAGTGGCTCATTATTAATACTATTATCACTGCTAAGATTTAAAGTTCTGCTCGTGTGTGATTCTTTGAGGAGAAACTCAAATCAACCAAACTCAAATCGGTGGCCACCACTTGAAACACAACGTCGGTACTTCTCATTTGGACTTTTCCTGCGAGTCGTTGCTCCATGAAGCAGATTATCATCTGACACAACGCAGTCTGAGGGGCGTACCTATGAGCCCGTGGACCAGCGGCGAGTATTGGTTGTCGTTGGGGATGTAGACGCCCAGGAAGTCCACGGCGACGGGGTTTTTCTTCCACGCGCGGTGAAGCAGCACCATCACCCGGATGTTGCCGTTCACCACGACGGAGACGTGGGAGTTCTTCACGATGGAGATCCTCACCCTGAAGACGCCAGAAAGACACACGAGAATGAAGCCCAAAGGAGCCCGACCCCCCTCTCCCCTCCTCCTCCCAGTGGGGCGTGGCGGGTTACCCGTCCTGCGTGATGTCGGCCGTGGCGCCCCAGGTGAAGGAGTGGTTGCTTCGGCCGTCGGTGAAGTCGACGCGGTCGGTGGCGACGGTCACGGCGACCCTGTCGGGCTGGTAGTAGACCGAGATGGCGCCGAAGTAGGTGCTCAGCTTGCTCTTGTCCGGCTGCTTGGAGCCGACCAGCAGGCCGTTCACCACCAAGCCTTTTTGGGGGCGGGGGGTCAGAGGTCACAGGCTCGGCAAAATACAAAAAACGCTGGCGTTCAGCGGCGTTCACGCTTTTGGTTGCAGGTACCTGTTCCACTGTCAGACACCAGGTTGAGGATGTGTCCAGGTGTGGAGTCGATGTTGAAGCACACGTCCATGTTTCCTCTGAGCAGGTGGATGATGAAGTGGGGGTCGTTATCCACTGGAGGAAGAGCGCATTGAGCCACGTTAACTCTGCAGGTGTGTGTGTGTGTGTGTGTGTGTGTGTGCGCGCGTTGTACCTAGGTTTATCTTCTCAGGCAGGGTCCAATCCTCTGGGCCCTTTCCAGCCTCGTGGGGGGTGGACGGGGTGGTCATCTGGACCCATTCGGGAACGTCGTAGACCAAAGCCACAGGATCCGGAAGGGTGGGCGGCGGGCCTGCGCCGAAGGTCACTGCGACACAAACAGAAAAGTAAAGCGAAGCTCGTTTAAATCGATTCCATAAGGAATGTTACATTTTTTTATTAAACAAAAATAAAATTTTAAAATCTATACATTATATATATATAAACCAATTGGTTTGTGGTCCGCAGTTCTGAAGCCTCAAGTTTGCAAATGATTGTTGTTGTTTGTATTGATAAACTTTGTTTACTGAGTCAACAAATCGAGAGAGAAGTCATTTCCTTATAGACTTCTTTGGGACTAGAAGAGTCGCCCCCTGCTGGTCACTACAGAGAATGCAGCTTGCCGCCTGATCAACGATCCTCCCTCAGGTACCTGCGCAGCAGCCGCGCTTGGGGTCCCTCGGCGAGTCGGCGAGCATCCTCTCCGTTCCGTCATCGCTCTCCACCAGCAGGGCGGTGAGCGGCGTGACGAACTGATGCTCCACGGCCAACGCCATGATCCTCTGGGTGATCTTCCTCTTCTTGGCAGCCGAGGGAGCCAGAGACCTGGAGGAGACCAGGAAACACAGCGGCCGTCAAATCCTCACCGGATGGCCATCACGCTTTAGTCCACCGTAAAGGACCTGTGGACTCCCAGGACCAAAGTCATCCGTTGCGTAGTTCGATTTCTTGGCTCATTAACAGGTAAAATAGAGACGAAAAATACGTCATTGCGCTGTTTAGGCTGAGGCACCTGAAGCTCAGTTACTTTACCTTTCGGAGAACAGCTGTTGGACGGTGATGTAGGCCCACATCTGTCTGGCGAAGCCCGTGAAGGAGTGCTGCTGCTTGGCCAGCTCCGTGTCCAACGCCGCCAAGTCCCCCTCCGTCTCCAAGGTGATGTCCAGACGGACCTGTGGGTCAACGGGACGGCGTCAGAGGACGAACGGCGAGGCACCATTCCGTTCGCGTTAGTTAGTTTGTTTACTCACCGCGGCCGCGGTGGTGAAGCTGGTCAGGGTGCCGCTATCGGACGGCAGAACCTTCCCGGCCACCACCAGCTCAGAGCCCTGGAAGTACTTGTCGAAGCGGTTCTGGGTGACGTCGGACACAGTGTCCTCTGGGAACAGGATGGAGATCCTCCTCAGCAGAGGGGAGGAGACCTGGCTGTAGAAGGCCTGCAGAGCGAAGAAGAGGAGGAGGCCATCAGGGAACTAGACCCTGATCTTCTGCTTGTCACTATAAAAAAAAGCAGCTCAAGGCATGAAGATGAAACGTTGATGAGGTCAAGAATGAATGAATCTTCTGTCTTGGTTTTTACATTTCTGCACTTGAACATGTTCCATTAGACAGAATAAACAATGCAAGCGGCTGAGGGGGTCGTCGTACCCGCAGCTGCTCCGCGGCGTCGTGGTTGGCGTAGATCCTCTGAGCCATGCCCCGGTTCTCCGTGGCGATGCGCTCCAGGAAGTCGTAGTCCACGTCGAAGCCGATGCCCAGCGAGAAGAGAGAGAAGTCCTCCTTCATCACCCGCTTCACATTTTTCTGGATGGTGCTCAGCTTGATCTCGCCTGCGAGGAATCAGCATCTCAGCAACGGGGTGCATTGAACAGTAAACCCGACGGGCGGCTGGGTGAGTCCGTCTTACCCACAGTGGGGTCTCCATCGGACACCAGGATGACCATGGAGACGGAGCGAGGGTCGATGAGCCCCTGGGAGGTCGCCTTCACCAGCATCTGGGCCGCTTTCATCAGCGCCTCGTTGATGTTGGTACCTGGAGGCATAAGGTGTTCACGTTCGAGACTCCATCGGACCAGTGGAACACTCAATTCGAGAAGAACGTCCTCTCTCACCTCCGTTGGGTTTGATGTTCTGGATGTAGTTCTTGGCGTCCTTGACGTTGAGGGAGGTGCCAGTCACCAGATCATCGCTCCAGCAGCGCACGTTGTGGTTGAAGTCGATGATGCTGAAGTAATCATCCATGGTCAGGTCCTCCAGAATAGCGTGCATGGCCTCCACCGTCTGTGAGAGAGGTTGAACACATTCTACAAAGTCGGCGGAGATGTGGACAGGAAAGGATTCACAAAGGACTCAAAATGTCTGTGAGGGGGGAGGGGCAGAAGTCTTTGAACCCAGGATGCAGGTGCGGGCACTCACCTGCTTCATCTTCACCCCCCACATGGATCCACTGACGTCGATGACAAACACAATGTTTTTGGGAAGGGGGGACAGGTTGGAGGGAGCGAAGAAGTGGACAAAGTGGCCTTCTGACACCTGGAAGAAAAAACAGCAGAGCGAAACCTGTTTCTGCGCTCGGGCGACGTTAAAGGCGACAAATGGGGCTTCAGACGGGAAGGAAGGAAGAGCAGGTAGGAAGTAGCGAGCGTCACCTGCAGCTCTCCAGCGTTGCTGTCTCTCGTCACGTCGTATATGACCGACAGGACGCCGTCGATGCCGCTGTCGGTGCAGTTCTCACACTTCCTCTGCTGCCCCAGGTTCGGCTTGAAGACGACGTGAGCCTGAGGAATAAAAGATGAACACCTCGGCCCAGAAAGCGTGTTTCTCCATCTTAAATATTCATGTGACATTTTGGAACGGGCCTCACTTTGTCTTTGGTCGTGGTCACTTTGATCAGATGCGCAAACTGCTCTCCCAGCGAGTTCACCGTCTTCACCGAGGAGATCCCCTTTGGCTCGAAGATGTACACGTCCACCTGAACAGACTCCGGGTCAGCTGACGCTCGGCGGGGTCGACACAGAGGAAACAAACAACACTCACCTGGAACTGGGGCACCAGCCGGCCGGGCTGCAGGTGGAGCCAGTGCTCGTAGGAGCCCAGCTTCCTCTGCATCATCTCCTGGTAGTGCAGCTCAAACTCGATGTTGCTGCCGGGGGGCACGAAGACCTCGGTCTTAAACGTCTCCATGTCCTGGGAGTTTGCCCTGGAAGAGCGGAAAGACATTTTTTTTTTTGCAGTGACTCCACCGCAGAAGGAGCTCTGCGAGGTTTGGGGTGGTGGGGGAAGTCGTACCTGATGATGCCCGCTGCCTTGCCTCTGGCTCGGGCCTGCGCGTACAGGTTCCTGGCCACGGTCTTCTCCTTCACCGAGCCCGCGAAGATGATCCCGTTCACGTTCCTGCAAAGGAGACGCCGACGGGTCAAAAGTCTCATCTTCGAGAGGCCGTTGGACCTCCCCCCTTCCTCCCCCGGGACTCACATGGTGAAGTTGGTGATGAACGCTCGCTTGGGGATTTGGACGTTGAAGCCGATGCTCTGGGCTTTGGAGCCCGAGTTGACCACCGAGCTCCTAACGGTGGTGTGGGCGAAGCGCGAGGTGATGCGGCTCTCCACCTTGTAGCTCTTGACGGTGATGTCATCGCCGCGGACGGCCTGTGCAGGATGGCGGACGGTTTTACGATATCAAACTATTTGACTCTGGATCTGCTTGTATCGAGACCGGACTGAATCGGCGACGCTCCCTAACGTGGACGCCACTCACGCCCATTTCCCGCACAC